TTCCACCAGTCGATCTCGTCACTTTTCAAGAGGGTGCTGATGTACTCTAATTTACCCTCAGGAGTGAGGTATAAGAATGTACGGAGTGTCTTCATGAGCTACTGATATGTTGAAATGAGGTCATCATCCCCGAATCCATAGAAGTTGGTAGTCTTGTACCTAAAGAGCCTCTAGATCGGAGACTCCCGAGGAACTATCGTTGGTTGAACTGGATGCATAGGTGGGGAGGTGACACTGCACATGTATTTGGAATAGCGTGGACTATCTGCCTAAGGGTCGAAGTCAGGTCTCGAGAGAAGGTCGCCTCATCGACTCTTATGTCTGTTGGTATCTCATACTTACAATCTAGGACAAACTCGTCACAAGTATCACCAGTGAGGGAGGTGCGACTCTCTTCCCAACCCTCGTGACTAAGAGTGGTACTATCGATCATGATCTAGTCCTATAATTAGAAAGAAAAGAGAGGCCATTATTGCTATTCCAGAAACTTAAGTATTTATGACACTCTAGGGGAATGTACTCACACAGACCCATACTGACTCTGACCCGCAGGCCCTAGGAACAACTAAACATGAACGTTCTAATACCACTAAACGTAACACCTTAATCTGGTATGATCCGAAAATTGTATGGTCAAAGCATTACACGGACCACCGAAGTGGCTAACCCAAAATTTTAATTCAAACATTTGTAAAACATCCATAATCATTTACCATAACATAAATAAAGATCATAAATCATAGTTTACAAAATACGAGTCTCCCAATAAGTATAAATATAACCATTGAGTTTTAAATCAAAACATAGTTATGACTTGAAAAAAATACAAGGTCTGCATAAATACATGCCCTCTAACAGACTCAAGACATACTCTGAAATGGGTTATCTAGAATGTATCTACGCGATAGTCTCCTCGTTGATCCTCTACTAACATGCGCATGTAAACACATTCCAAACATTGAGCTCACAAGCTCAGTGCCACGATAATAACTATGTAATACTACATGCATTCATTACATGAACATGCTTGTGCGTAAAGTCATAGGTATGTAAAAGTATATCAACAAACATGAGATATGTCTAGCAATGCGGTCAAAGGAATTTTACGTGCATTTCAGACAACACACCAGCCTATCTTCAAACGTGATAGCCTCGGTTAATAATTGAAATTTTACGTGCATTGAAACTTACATCCCTAGTCTATCTCGTATACTTGAGAGTTTCGGGGTAAAGACCAAAATTTTACGTGCATCGAAAACTCACATCCCGAACCCACATATAGGCTCTCGAGTATTAGGAACAATTTGGAATTTTACGTAAATCGGATACATACTCGGTCAACAATATCTAGATATTTCAACATAAAGGATGATCATCATCATGCTAGAGTAACTCGAGTGTCCTGACCGTTTCTCGAGCATAAAAAAATGGTCAGTCTTATGTCATCCTAACTTGCTTGATTTCTAGGTGTGAATTTAGTTACTTTAGTTGTTTTCACTTGTAATAAAGTATATAAAGCTTATACGACCTCAAAACACCCAAATACGAACACTTAAAGCAACTAAGCAAAATTGCCCAATTCATAGTATCGATATTGGCCCTTGGGTATCGATGCCAAAAATAGCTTCGATATTTGAGAAAAACCTCAATATCAATACCCCTATGAGAAGTATCAATACTCTACCCTTGGTATCGATACTCTCATAAAAATGGCTACTGGAATCCTTTAAGTGGCTCAGGTTTCGATACCACCCTGCAGGTATTGAAACCTGATCAATAGTATCAATACTCCCGATTCGAGTATTGATGATTCCTTCCCAAAAGCACTTTATTTTTACCTTGATTGTGGAAAATATCAATATTGTTCATCCATTACCGATACTTACCTTCAGACACACCCTGTTTTGGGCACGAAAATGCATCCCAACTTTACCCATTCATCCTATTAAAGCTAGCAAACATTATTAGAGTCTTATTTGAGGTCTTAGGGGTCAAATGGAGTCACCTTTCATGTTTACAAACATTAAACACATAATTTACCATGGTTTACTCTAGCATGCTTCATGAAGTTAACTAAACATTTATGCACATCTAATGGTCTACATGTGTTATGGACAAGTTATAAATGTGTTACCTTGATTCTAAGCTGATGAAAAATTTCCATAAATCACCCAAGAACTAGCTTCTCTTTTCCCCTTGCTTAGGAACTCTCCCCTTCTCTTTCACTAATCAAGAGAAGGGAAATACTTGGAACGTGGTTAAAAACATTTCTATGAACTTGAATCTTCCTAAAACGAGATGGAAACCCTTGGTTTTCTAAACCCCTCTAAAACTCATTTTTGGTTTCTAAGGCCAAAACTTGGTTTTGATGGCTTGAATCGAAGCTTAGGATGAGTTGGTTTTGTTTCTTACCTTGTAATTCTGATATAGGCTTGCAAAACTAAAAAGTTTGAACCTTGGCCTTGACTTGGAAAAAAAGAAGATGAGAAGGAACAGAGGAATAAGACAAGAATTGGTGAGGAATAAGAGATAGGGAAAAGACTGTTATATCATCCCAATTAATGGGATTTCAACTTTTTTTTAAAAAAAAATAGGTTATTTACTCATTTAGTCCTTTTTTTGGTTCATGGTTAAAAGCATCCTTTTTTTTTATCTCTTATTGGGCTCATTCAAATACCAAACTAAAATCCACTTGGGTCAAACCTTTCATAAGCTAAGTGAATTTATACTAAGGCTCAATTGGATAGACCCAAAACTCTTAACTTGGGATTCTCAACGTTACTTGCTTTACCATATATCTTCTTCGCTTTTAGCATTTTTTTGTAGTTTTGTATTACTGAGTTTTCTCAAAGCTCACTTTGTTACTCACTATTTCATGTTAAAGGAATTGATTCTCTACGGTATCAACATCAGTGATGGGAATTCCTTCTGTGTTTCTTCGCTTTCATGCTCTCTTTGATTGTTATCTAACATCTTGCGAACATTTCCACATGTGCTTGCAAACAAGAACAAACTGGTTTAACAGAAACCAATCCGTCCCTTACGATTTTAAACTGAGTATAATAAGTACTAACAGACATTGAACCTTGGGCTAACTCATTGAGTTTCTTCTTAAGATGGAAGATATGCGACCCATTTGACTGTTGACAGCTATCTTCAAGATCCTTCCATATTGCACCGGCACTAGAATGATAAAAAGACTCGCTGCAATTTCTTTGAAAACAGAATTCAATATCCAAGAATTCACAAGATTATTAGTTCTTGTCCAGGCGTTGTACAATTCTGTTAAAGTCGACTTCGACACTGTGGTTGAACCATTGAAGACCTAAACTTGTTTTTAGCAGAAAACACCATTAGCATAGAGAGTTTTCAGCTGTTGTAATTGTCATTGGTTAATAGCGAAGTAACCAAAATCATACCTGGATTACCTGGCTGATGAAGATAATAAGGATTGCATCATTATCAAATTAATTACTAGGATCACCCATGATGAATACCAAGAGAACAAAATAATTCCTGGATTATCAGACTGATGAAGATAGTAAAGATTGTATCATTATCAAATTAATCATTACGATAACCCATGATGAATACCAAGAGAACAAAGAAACAAGGAGAAGAAAAACTTCTTTTACAATCGTGGAAGCGAGGAAGTTCAAAACAAAACTAATGATACCATGTCAAAGATAAGAAGTGGAAAATACTTCTTTATTTTCCAAACTTCATTAATTTTACAAAGAACTGAATGAATAATAAAGGTACAACTTCCCTATATATATAAGCTTATAAATCTTAACTAACTTGAACTATCCTACTAAAATATTAGTTGTAACAAAAAGGTGTCTTTACATTTGTTTCCTTTGCCATGCAAAGATTGCAGATAAAGAGAATGAACTATTGCGCTGTTAAACACTTACAGAGGAATATAAACAATAGAGATGCTGACGTAATGGTAAAACAAATAATCGATGAATTAGACCGATTTAATTATTTTTATTATTAAATTAATTTTTTAATATGAAATGAGTATAAATAATATTTATTCAAATAATTATTAATCAGTCGATAATTAACGTTTGAAAACGTTTACTGAAGTATGCTTGAACCTAAAATCTTTGGAGATGACGGAATATAGTCAATAGAGATGCTGATGTAATGGTAAAACAAAAGTCGATGAATAAAACTGATTTAATTGAATCTTTATTAATAATTTAATTTTTAAATATAAAAATATAAAATAATATTTGTTCAAATAATTATTAATCACTCAACCATTAACGTTTAAAAACGTTTACGTTTACTGAAATATGTTTGTACGCAAAATTTTTTTGGCGACGACGACCATCATCTGACCATCTTTAATTGATTTATATTTATTGAATTAGATATCGATTTAAATACCTTCTTAGTGATTGTGACATGTAAACGTTGCAGAAAAAAAAAACTGCTCTTGTTCTATATTATGTATTGTTCTGTTGTTGTAATTAAACCATTAATTTTTAGAATTACTTCAATTATTTAGACATGAATACTTCAAATAAAGGGAAAAAAAACTTGAAAACATGATTGGGTCTAATGTCTATGCCAGTACAGGCACTTGAACACCACATGCAAGTTAAATAACTTCCCATTTTAGGGAAAGAAAACAAAAAAGGAAAATACAGTAACTCGACAGTTTCAGTGTCATTGTTTGAAGCAGTGAAAAGACTACAGAAACCTGCCACATGGCAACACTGAACTATTAAAAGAAGAAAAAAAACACTGAAACCAAACCCTTAGAACCTATGATTATTCCATTTCACCATCTCTCTCAAGCCCTCATAATATGCAAGGAAACTTGAAAAGTTTCACAAAGCTTAAAGCCATTGAAGACATTCTCCATTCCAATTTTCCCTAAACTCTTGACCCATCAAAACGTCAATATCACTCATTTCCATGTAATCATTCTCCAATGGAAACTCAGGCCAGTTAAAGTCTTCGTCTTCATCATCACCAAAACTTCACCCTTCAAACTCTTTGGTGTTCATTTCTCTCGTCACCAGCCTCTCTTCACTACTTTGACTTGAACCAAAACTCCTACTGGAACCTGGCGGTGACTGCATAACACAAAGATCATCATGAGGCTGAGGCTGAGGCAGGTTGGGTTTAGCCGATGAACCATACAGTTTCCTAGCGGCTGCATCATAGGCCAGTGCGGCTTCAAAAGATGTATTGAAAGTACCGAGCCAAAGCCTGCTACCTCGGTTGGGTTCTCGGATCTCGGCCACGCATTTTCCCCAAGTCCTTTGCCTTACACCTCTGTATTTACACATGGCGTTTTCGGGACCACCTTTCCCTCTCATGCAGCCTTTCCTTGATTTACCCATATATGGCCTCTCGCCTACATTTGTTGTTCTACCTTGAGCTTCCATTGTTGAATATCTCAACCCCAAAAGAGCAAAAAGCTACACTCATGTATTGGGGGTTTTTAAAGGGACAAAAAATAAGCCATGGCGGCAGTTTCATTACAGTCAAGGGAACTGGGTTTGGACACATGTAAAGGAGATGCTTGGTTGTTGGCTTTTGCATGAGAACAGTGTCATGCTGACAAACAACACGTCCTCAAACTAATGAATTCCTTCATCCTTAAGGACCAGATTAATTTTATTAATTTTTATAAGAGAAAAAAAAAACTTCCATGGATATATATATGATGTGTTCTGCAGACACTGAAGATAATTAAGGCACATGTATGATGTATGAAGGAAAAGACACTTGTTAGCTTTAATATTATAACTTTGGGTTTTGGTTTCTTACAAGATTGAAGAGAGGGTAAAATATTAGGTCCTGGTCTTGGGGAACATTAATTTGTGGGCCCTACTAGCATGATTCTCAAACTTCATATCTTTTGTATATGATAATACAATACATAATTAACTTGTATATTGATGGATATGGTTGAAGCTTGAAGACAAATGCTGACCTCTTCGATGAACTGTGGGGGGCTAACAGTATATCAGGTCATGCCTTTATCTGAGCCACTCCCATGTCCCTAAACAAAAGAAGAAGAAAACTCTTTTATTTATTCTCTTTCCTTCCTTTTTCTTTGATTTTTCTTGTTTGTTTTTGGAAGTTAGTGTGTTTGTAAAATTGTCTAAATTTTGTGATTGAAGTTTTAAAGTAGTTTCTGAAAGATTTCTCTAAAATTAACTTAAATTAATTCTTTTATACTTGGTTATTGTTTTAATGGATAATTTTATAGTTAAAGTTGTCACAAATCGATAATATTATTTTATCTTTTTAATAAATTTTAAATTTAGTTCTAATCTTAATTAGAGGAAAGGAAAAGAGGAGACTCTAGGAGAAGAAAAAAGAATGCTCCTACCATGTCTGAAACTCATGGCCTAAAAAATTATGAGAAAACAAAAATGAATAACTTAACCAACCAACCAAATGTACTTACTCATTTCATTCTTTTAAGTACATTAATTCATCCTTAATTTTTCTAAATAAGTTAATATTTCCCTTTTGATCAACGAAAATTGTCATTGATAGTTATACTGTTAACATCACAGTTAAAAGTGTTTAATGTGATGATTTATGATGTTAATGTGATAGTCTATGATAATGACATGACTGTTTATGGGTGAATGATGGCATGATATAAGTGCTTAATTGATTCTTTTATCAAATTCAAAGATATAATTGATTTTTATAGAAAGTTCAAGGACTTATTTAATCTTTTTGTAAAAATTAAGAAGAACTTACTATTAAAATTGAAAATGTGACACTCTAAATTCAATATAAATATTATGATAAGGTCTGAGATGCTAATAAACATAATAAAAAATTCTAATTTCATTTCGGTTGAAACTATAATAATACTATTAATGTTTGTAAAACTCAAAAGAAATCATTCAATTGTTGTTTTTAGAAAAATCAAATTAAAAGGGGCAATTATAATGTAGGCAATCTAATTTAAGGCGGTTTTTAACCTAAAATATTATCTTATTCAATTTGAAGACTTAAAGTCTTGCGGTCATGGGTTGCATATCCTTGGATCAGGTTACATGTCCTGGATCTGAAATTATTGGAAGAGCTTCATATTACATGTCTATTCTTGGGTCATGCACGAGCTTGCCTTGGTCACTCTGGGTCAGGCATGCAGGCATTGTGCCTTAGTTTGAGGTTTGGGCACTAGTCCTAGAAGAAGGTGGGTACATAATGGGATTATGGGGCAGGCCTTGGGTGAGGGTTTGTGACCAGAACATTGGCCAAGGTTTGTTTCTTGAATGAGGGCTCTCAACCGACTGTGCTGACAACAATCTGACAGAAGCTTAGCTTGCACGGTGAGGAGTTGCAGATCATGATGAAACCAAGGAAACTAGGAAAAGACTCACTGTAAAGATAATGAAACAATGGTAGATGGGTTGAGGGGAACATATCAAGAGTGTTTAACAACATAATTTCTGAATACGATGGACATAAAATTTTAGAATATACATCATCTGTAAAATAAATAACTAAACGAATAATACGAGTGCATGTTAACTTTATAATTATGCCTAGATTTAAGTGCAAAGTTTTCTGAAAAACCCAAACTGCACTCAAACGCAGATGAATGATTTCTTTCAACATTGTGCACCAGCTGAGAGTCGAACCCGAGTTTGTACTCGGACAGGGTACTATTTTATCAGTAGATCATTGGTGCTTGTTAATTATACTGGGGAAAATAAAATTATATAAATATGTAGAAAAATCTAATTGTCCAAAATGGTTTAAATTGCACTTGCATACCTAGAGATAGGGTTGACAAAATTCAACTTGAAAATTTGAACTTTTTGGCTCGATTCAATTAAAAAAAACTTGAAATGGATTAATTTTTAAGTTCTAGTTAAGTTTATCAACTTTGTATGATATATGTATATCTCATATGAAAAATATATATGTATTATAATGACTATTGAAAACCATTTAAATTGGAATCTAATAATATAATAATAATTATGCATATTTATGCCTATTTTACTAGTAAACTAGGCAACATAATTTTATCATTATTACATCAATCTAAACAATTAGATTTTTTTTTCATAAAATTTGAATTCTAACAATTTTAATATGTTATTGCCGACCAAATAACATGAGTTCAATTTTTAGAAAGGATAACTATTGTCCGAAAAAAATTCATGTTTTGTTGTTCGAGTTTTTGATTTGATATTTAGTTAGAAACGTTGTCCAATGTCCCTATTTTGGTGTTAAGCTTTCGCTATATTTGCAAATGCCACACCACTATATAAACTCCACAACCTCTTCTCCCCAACACAAGCACAAACAAAGATTCAATGACAGTATCAAATTGGGTTTTCCTTTTTTGAAAACCTAATAATCCGATACTATTCTTCTAATCAAATTTTCCTTTTCAATTTTCTTTTCCGGGAAAAGCAAGAGCAGAGAGCATGGAGAAGAAGGTGATGATGATGCTATGGATATGCGCATTGCTTGTGAGCTCAACGATGATCGAAGGCGCGGGGACGATTAGACTTAAGGGAATCAGCTACCAAGATCTGGGCAAAACTCTCAAACTGGCCTGCCAAGGAAAAAGGCCATGCGGAACTCCCAAAGCAAAACGTAATGCCCATTTTAATCACAACGGGTGTAACCGAAACTTAAGATGCGACATGACTACGAGATGAAATATTAATCACGTTTCGAGTCGGATCTGATTTAAATAAATATAAAAAATATTATTATATAATTTATTTTAGTTTAAATCTGATCCGACTCGATCTATAAACGAGTTTAATAATGATAATGTCTTCCTCCTCCTGCAATTATTGATGCACCCAAAAAAGTTCTTCCTCCTCGTTTGTTGTTGTTGTTGAAAATTTGATTCTTCAATTAAGTGCTTCAATAAGAACTTTATGTATTTATTATCTTGTTAGCTTCGATGGTATGTGTTAACAAGTGGATATTATCGAATTATAATTTAATATATTTTTTAAAAGTTTTTAATAGCAATAAAATAATATAAAGCTTAATTATATTGCCTTAATACAAAATGTAACATTTAAATTTAAAATATAAGTAAATTTGAAAAGTCTAAGACGTAATATAAATAAAAAATAATTATATAGATTTTCCCTCTCTTTTTTTGCATTTATACATTAATTATGTAAAAAATAATTTTACATAAAATTATATTCTCAATCCACGTGCTTTGGCAAAGTATGAGATTTAGTACATTTAGTTAAAAAGTTAAAAAATAAAGAGTCTTACTTTAAAAAAAAATTAGACCAATCATTGACATTATTAGTATTTATGATCAAAATTTATTTACTATCAAATATGCTTATTGAGTCTATAGTGGTGTCAATGATTTATTACCAAAATTTATTTACAATCAAATATGCTTATTGAGTCTGTAATTTTGAGTTATTAATATCTTATTAAGTGTATCGATACCTATTAAATAAATTAAAAATTGAATTAATTGTATCATATGTTCTCTAAGTATGATCTTCATTTTAAATTGGTCCCTAAACCTCTAAATATTATAATTTCAATCCTAAATTATGACTATCATTCTAAACTAGTCATCAAACTTTAGAATATTTTAGTTTCATCCCCAAACTATTAATTTCATTCTAAATTTATCCCCGAACTTTTTGAACATTCCAATTTCATCCCAAACTATACGTATATGCTATCACATCCCTTGTTAATAAAATTTTAAGACAAGTTATATTATTATATGTTAAAAAACAAAATTTAGGTTAAACTATGGTTGAAACTGATTACATGTCTGGATGAATTTGGGAATAAAATTAAAATATTCAAAATTTTAAGGGGCGATTTAAAAAGAGGGTCATAGTTTTGGGATGAAATTAAAATGTTCAAAAGTTTAAGAACTAATATAGAATTAAAGTCATAGTTTTAGAATGAAATTAGAATATCTAAAAGTTCAAGAATCAATTCAAAATAAGAGTTATAGTTTGGATATAATACAGTTAACTCTTACAAATTTAGAAGTTTCAAACTTTATTTTGGTATCAAAAGATACGATAGGTAACATATATACCAATAGTATGTATTGAACCAAAATAAAGTTTAACGAGGCCTAAATCTCTTTTCAAAAAAAAAAGAAAAAAAAAGAAATACATATTAGATCTTGGTTATGTCCTGACTGATTGAGTCATGAGAAACTTTTTTAACGAGCTCTAAATCTTTTTTTTAAATAATACATATCATAGGTATTTATACCTATTCATCAAGTATTAATATCAAACATTAAGTATTAATAGGAATTAATTTAAAAAAAATTCAAACAACAAACCTGAAAATGATATCAATACCTTCAATCGGTATTGATATCAACCTAAAAGTACCAATGTCATGAGCTCAATATTGATACATAATTTATAATTTGTCA